TTGGTGACCCTTGATCTAGAATGGTATCTCTGCCTGTTCCTCTTCCCTCCCCTGACCCACCGATACCATGAGATAGACTCTTCCAAGAGTCCAGGCCAGTCATCTTATTGAATTCCCCAAATTCTTAAGTCATCTAGTTATTTTTTCAAGGTATTCTGTAATGTATTCCTTCATCCCCTGTATTTTCTATAAACTATTAATTGGGTCAGGGGACCTCATGAGAGTCAGTTTAAATTTCAATGTTTTGGGACAAAAATAATGTGTTAGGTAATATTGGGAATGTTAACTTCTGTAAAGGGATCATCACAGTGAACACAATTGAGCTTCCATCATTGAAGAGTTCGCCCGCTCACCCACCCATCAAGGGTCTGTGACGTGCCCCCTCCCCACCACGTGCAGTGCTGGGAGCTCTGAGGGTCACAGTCGTGTGGTCCAACCTGCCCTGGGTGGCCTGGGGCAGAACTGTTGAGTGACAGAAAAGCCAGTTCCTCACTTTATCTTTCTGGACCAGCGCCAAAGGGCTCACTTTATCTGAAATAGTTGTAAAAATGCAGATTCACCAGCTCCTTAGACCCAATGAAATAGATCTCCCTGTGAGTTCCAGTAATCTGTATTTTAACCAGTTCCACTATTACAGTAGAGTCAAAAGAAGGCAGGTGGATGAGAGTCCATTCCTAAGGTGGGAGCCATCCCCTGGGAGGAGGCTACATCTTTCTCTGATGTACCACTGGGTCTACCAGAGAGGCAGACATGCCTCACTGTCCAGAGGTCAAGCAGCCCTTCAGTTATAAGAGGAAAAGCATCTTGACCTCAGGAACTGCGACAATCTTTAAATATGACCGCACATTGTTTGTGGCACCTCCCTTCAAAAGTAGAAGTTAATTCCTCTCCCCTTGAGTGTGGGTCAGACTTAGTAACTCGCTTCTAACAAATAGAATGTGGCAGAAATGATGCTGTGTGACTTCGAGGCTATCTGCTAAGAAGCACTGCAGCTCCCCCCTTGCTTTCTGTTTGCTTTCTTGCTCTGAGGGAAGCCAGGGGTTGTGTTGTGCAGACACCCCGGCAGCCCCGGGGCTGCCCCCATGGGAAGGAACTGAAGCCCCCTGCCAACAGCCGGCATAAACAGCCGGCCCCAGGAGGGAGCATCTCGGAAGTGGGGCCCTTGCCAAGCCAAGCCAGAGACCTTGACTGCAAACTTATGGGAGATCATAAGCTAGAACAACCCAGCTGAGCTGCTTGTAAATTCCTCACCCACAGAATATGTGAGATAACATATGTGCATTGTTGTTTTAAGCTCTTTGTTTTGGAGTAGTTTGTTATGCAGCAATAGGTAACTTAATCCAGGGACTTCGCACGGTAGTTTTAGGACTTCTGCTGGGGTGGCGATGGTGAGCCCCTGTGCCACTCACTTCACTTGGGAACAACACCATGCAGGCCCCTGCATGCTTTGCTGTTTGACACATGTGTCTTCTCAATTGGCTGCTGACCTCACAGTGAAATTCCCAGGCAGAAGCCTACACCAGGCCTCCAAAGAATCAGGAGTTGGAGCATCTACCCCCTGGGCGAACTATGTTTGGAGATGACACTGTTGCCCCCTCCTTACCTACAGAATGTTCTTTTGAGGAGGTGTTCTCAGAGTGTTCTCAAGTCTGAAAGTAAGGTAGTGGGGCAACCCCGTTTCTGGCTGGGAAACAGCTTTTCTCAATGTAGAGCCAACAGTGCACATCGGTATCAAAACTGCACCTGTGATTCATTAACACCATGTTCTGACAAAACCAACTGGCTGACTATGATTTTGAAAAATAATAAAACATTGCTTTGGTGCCAGAATAGTCCAGTCAACTCAACAGAGCCTATGATGAAAAATTAAAATTTAAGGGATCACCAATACTTTTTGGTTTAGAGTGAGTTTGGGGGTGAGGGAGCAAGGTACAGCATTGTGGTTTCTAGTTGGTTTGATTTTTGCATTTTCTATCTCTCTGGTAGGTACAAATGAAAAGTGATTTTGCTTGCATCAAGAAAAATTTGGATAATTTTAAAAAAATTAAGACTATAACACAATAAATAATTGGCAAAGAAAATAAACATGTAGTTCATAGAAAAGAAGGTTCAAAAGGCCCTTAATATTTGAAAACATTGTCAATCTTACTCATATTTAGAGAAATGTAAATTAAAACTGCCCTGAAATCTGAACTCTTACCGATCAGTCTGGCAACAATCCAAAAGTTGGGTTTGGCTAACACACTCTAACAATGAAGCTGTAAGGAAATAGTTATTTTTATGTTACTAATGAGAGTACAAAATGGCACGTACCTTGGAGGAAAACTTGGAGGAAAACTTGGCAATATATGACAAAACTACGTATGCATTTACTTTTTGTTTTTTTTACTTTTAATCTCTTTAAATCCTCACCCGAGGACATTTTTGCATCGCTTTTAGAGAGAGAGGAAAAGGAGAGAGAGAAACATTGATGCAAGAGAGAAGCATGGGTTGGTTGTCTGGACTGGGGATTGAACATACAACCTAGGCCTGTGCCCTTCCCAGGAATCAAACCTGCAACCTTTCAGTTACAGGACGACATTCCAACCAACTAGGCCACACCAGCCAAGGCTGCATTTATTTACCTTTTAAAGTATCAATGTCACTGCTGGAAGTTTGCACTGAAGACACACCTTCTCCAATCAAAAATGACATAAGCACAATGTATTTATTCTAATTATTTGTAATATTAGAAGATTAGAAAACAATCTAGATGTCCATAATTAGAGGAATTGTATGTTACTCTAATATACTATTGTATATTCACACAGTAGGGTACTATGTAGCTATACCAAAAAACCTGAGAATGATCTGTATATAGGGAATGATTGACAAGAGACAGATGAAAAGAGGAAAGTACAGAGCAGCATATATTAATGTTTTGTTTGTATTAGATATTATACGCTATATCCTATATTATTAGTATATTATATATTATGTAGATTATTTTACATATTATTATATAAGATATACTATAAAGTATATACTATACTAATAGTATACTATATATGTTATATAGTATATTACGTTATACTATATACTACTATGTATTAGTATATATTATTATATGTATTTATACATTATACGTATTGCATATGTATAGAGAATAAAAAGAAACACTAGATGGAGACACCTGAAACTCAAAAAATAGTGATGACCTCGAGGGTGAAACAGAATAGATGAGAAAGAGAGGGAACTAAGACTTCTGTATATATACCTTTTTATATAGCTTGTTTTATGTGTTCAAAAATTAAATTAAATTAGTCCTAATCGAGATAATGTAATAGATAAATGCTGTGCTCACGTCTTCCCATGATCACATCAAAATTATAACTGAACTACATAACAGCCATTACTGAGAACCACTTGAAGTCTAACTGCACAGAAATTCCATAACTAAGGGTATGCAGAAGAAGTCACATCAAAACTGATAGGAGGGGTGGAGATGTAGACTGGGCAAGTCCCAAACCCACGTGGGACAGTTAAAAACTGGAGAAGATATCTCAGCTGCGAAAGTCCCCACTTAGGACTGAAGGGTCCCAGCCCCACACAGGGCTCCCCAGCCCAGGGTTCCAGTACTGGAAAGAGAAGTCCCCATAACTTCTGGCTGTGGAAACCAGTTGGGACTGTGGCTGAGTGGGACAGAGCGCTTCTGGAGTCCTAGGCATTCCTCTTAAAGGGCCCATGCATGGACTTACTCACAGAAAGATTCACCCCCTCTTAGCTCCAGTGCTGGGACAATGCTCGAAAAGCACCAGCAACATGGGGAAGAACTGAATTATCTGGCTTCAGGGCAAGGGCTGGAAGGGCAGCTTATTCCCAAAGAGAAGTGCTGGCAGAGGCCATTGGTTCTTTGTTGAGCCCTCCCCGCACCCAGCCCGCAAGTGCAGGCGGGCCTCCAATCTGGGTCTCCTCCTACCTAGTTAACATCATCAGCCCCACCCTCATGATTTCCTGCAACCCGGCCCCACCCAATATGGGGGCTTACCAAAGCCACCTTACCGCAGCTTTGCCATACAAACAGCCTGTCTCAGCTCAGGCTGCAGACTTTCCTAAAATCTCTCAAAGGTTCACAAACCCCAAACAAAGCATCTGGCTTTAGCCTGCTCTTGTTAAGTGGCCCCAAGCCCAGCACTAGTGGTAGCCAGCCTCAGTTCACAGCTTAGCCTCTCCCAGCTGCCCCCAAGCCCAGCACAAGTAGCAACTATCAGCAGGTCACTTTGTAGTTCATATCAGTGGCCCCAGGCTGGGCACAGGCCTAACAAGAACTTGGCCTAAACAAGAGCCTCTCCCAAAAGGCACCAGAACCAACACACCCAGTGGTCAGCTTCAGACCACACCAGTGCACTCCCCAGCCAGCTCCACAAATGACACATCCAAAGGCACCAGAGCCCCGCTAAAGTGACTCCCCCTCCATGGGCTAGCCACTGCACAAGAGCTCCTCTGCTGTCATCACTGCCATTCCCCACAGCCAATCAGCTTGAGGGTCCATCCCTCCCACTGACATGCCAACAGTAATCAAGGCTCAACTACAACAGGAGGGCACGCACAACCCATACAAGGAACATACCTGGAGCACCTGGCTCAGGTGATAAGGAAGAATGTACCACTGGGCCTTATAGGACACCTACTACATAGGGCCACTCTACTAAGACAAGGAGACCTAGCAGATCTACCTAATATACAGAAACAAACACAGGGAGCAGCCAACATAAGGAGGAAAAGAAACATATCCCAAGTAAAAGAACAGAACAAAGCTCCAGAAAAAGAACTCAAAATGAGACAAGCAATCTACCAGATGCAGAGTTCAAAACACTGGTTCTAAGGATGTTCAATGAAATTAGAGGAAGAGTAGAACTCAGTGAAAACTTTAACAAAGAGATAGGAAACATAAAAAGAACCAGTCAGAAATGAAGAATATAATAAATGAAATGAAGAATACATTAGCCAGACAAATAAACATGGAGTCCATCTTCCACGAGAAACAAGAAGGCTCACTTTGTGCTCAGCATTGCTTGAGTAATCTGTTGCAAAGAGGATATGTCAGCCCCATGGAGTTGTCGTCTATCGCGCACCAACTGGACGAAGAGGAGAGATTGAGGATGGTGGAAGGGGGTGTTACCAGCGAAGACTACCGCACATTTTTACAGCAGCCTTCTGGAAATATGGATGATAGTGGTTTTTTCTCTATTCAACTTATAAGCAATGCCTTGAAAATCTGGGGTTTAGAACTAATCCTGTTCAACAGTCCAGAGTATCAGAGGCTTGGGATCAATCCCATAAGTGAAAGGTCATTTATATGCAATTATAAAGAACACTGGTTTACAGTTAGAAAATTAGGAAAACAGTGGTTCAACTTGAATTCTCTCTTGACGGGTCCAGAATTAATATCAGACACATGCCTTGCACTTTTCCTGGCTCAAATACAACAGGAAGGTTATTCTATATTTGTTGTTAAGGGTGATCTGCCGGATTGTGAAGCCGACCAACTCCTGCAGATGATCAGGGTCCAAGAGATGCATCGACCAAAGCTTATTGGAGAAGAAATAGCACAATTTAAAGAACAGAGAATCCAGAAAACAGACCTGGAACAAGCCTTAGAAACCAATGACAGGCCAGGAGCGTTAGATGACGATGAGGAGGACTTGTGGCGGGCTCTGGCTCTAAGTCGCCAACAGATTGACATGGAAGATGAAGAAGCAGATCTCCGCAGAGCTATGTGTGCAAGGTAGTTCCAGAAATGTATCTCAAGATACCCCGCAGACATCAGGTACAAAACTTACTTCAGAAGAGCTACGGAAGAGAAGAGAAGCCTACTTTGAAAAGCAGCAGCAGCAGCAGCAGCAGGATCCGCCAGGACAGCTTTCACACCCATCGGAAACACCAACCATGAGTTCAGGAGCACTGGGCAGGGATCTAGGTGATGCTATGAGTGAAGAGGACATGTTTCAGGCAGCTGTGACCATGTCTTTAGAAACTGTCAGCAATAATTTCATAACAAAGGAGAAACAATAACTTACACATCTCTAAAATACTCATACTTTCCAACATTATCCTGTGTCATTGAAGCAGGGGGTCCATTTGGTAACACGTCAAAGAGAACAATGTTCAACAGAGGAAATAAAGACTTAGGTGGTTTGCAAAGAAAAAGATGAGAAAGTGGAAAAATGTGTCAGTTGTAGGACTAAATAATGATCCTTCAAATGCTAGCCAAAGAGGCATTCAGCAATTAAAGAAATTTAAAATAGCTTTAAAAAAAAAAGAATACATTAAAGGGAATCAGTAGATTAGGTGAAGCAGAGGATCTAATAAGCAATTTGGAAGAAAAGCTACCAGAAAACACCCAATCAGATCAGCCAAGAGAACAAAAAATTTTTAAATGAAGATAGTGTAAGGAGCTTCTTGGACAACTTCAAGACTACCACCATTCCCATCAGAGGAGTCCCAAAAGGAGAAAAGAGAGGGCAAGAGATTGAAAACCTATTTGAAGAAATAATTGCAGAAAACTTCCCTCATCTGGTGAAAAAAATTGACATATAAGTCTAGGAAATGCAGAGTTCCAATCAAGATGAACCCAAGAAGGTCCTTATCAAGAAACACCATAATTAAAATGTCAAAGCTTAAAGACAAAGAGAGAATCCTGAAAGTAGCAAGAGAAAAAGAGTTACCTACCGAGGAATTCCCATAAGACTATCAGCTGATTTCTCAACAGAAACTTTGCAGGCCAGAAGGGATTGACGCAAACTATTCAAAGTAATGAAAAGCAAGGACCTACATCCAAAATTACTCTACCAGAAAAGCTATTGGGTTGGCCAAAAAGTTTATTTAGTTTTTTCCATAAAAGACACTTTTTTCATCTCCACCAATAAATTCATTGATCTGGATATTTTGAGTATGTCATCTATCTCGCATGTGGTATAACGTTGATTGTTTTCAGTTAATGTCTCGGTTTGATCACTATCAACTTCAACTGGTCTACCCAACTGTGAAGCATTGCCCAGCAAGAAATCTCCAGCATGAAACTTTGCAAACCACTTTGACACGTTTGATCAGTCATAGCACCTTCTCCTTACACAGCACAAATCGTTTGCGTTTCAGTTCCATTTTTATCTTTCTTGAAACAATAAAGCTTAACATGATGAAAATGTTGCACAGTTTCTTCCATCTTCAATATTAAAATGGCTACACAAAAACTCAGCTATTTTGATAAGTTTTTTTAAGTGCACACTGATTTGACAGCTGTCACAATGCAATCTAACAAAATTGTTTCAAATGGAGTTAAAGACAACTAAGTGCTATTAGAACTATCTTGCAGAAAAAACCAAATGAACTTTTTGACCAACCTAATATCATTTAGAATTGAAGGACAGATAAAATCTTCCCAGGCAAGAAAAGGCTAAAGAAGTACATCACCACCAAACCAGTATCACAAGAAATGTTAAAGGATCTTCTTTAAGAAAAAGAACAAAAAAGATCAGAAATATGAAAAATAAAATGGGAGGGGGGAGGTATAAGGGGAATAAATGGTAATAGAAAAAAGATAATATTTAACAAGTGAATATTAAAATTTATAAACATTTAATAATAGAAAATGGCAATAACTGCAGACCGATCAATAATTCCTTTAAATGTAACTGGACTGACTAAAAGTGTGGCTGAATGGATAAGAAAACAAGATATGTTATCCACAAGAGAACCACATTAGATCAAAAGACACACAGACTGAAAGTAAAGGGGCGAAAAAAGATATTTCATGCAAATGGAAACACAAAAAAAGCTGGGGTAGCAATTCTTGTACCAGACAAAATAGACTTTAAAACAAAGGCTGTAACAAGAGACAAAGGACTCAGCAATTCTACTTCTGGGTATTTATCTGAAGAAACCTAAAACACAAATTTGAAAAGACATCCCTATGTTTATTGCAGCATTATTAACAATAGCCAAGATATGGAAGCAACCTAAGTGTCAATAGGTGAATGGATAAAGAAGATGTGATACATATACACGATGGACTATCACTCAGCCATAAAAAAGGAGTGAAATCTTGCCACTTGCTACAACATGGATGGACGTAGAGAATATTATGCTAAGTGAAATAAGTCAGATAGAGAAAGACAAACACCATAAGATTTCACTTATATGTGAGATCTAGAAAACAAAATAAATAAAACAAAAAAACTCATAGATACAAAAAACAAACTGATGGTTGCCAGGTGGGAGGGGGTAGAAGGATAGATGTAAAATGGGAAGGGGTTAAGATGTGCAAATTCCAGTTGTAAAAAGAATCACAGGGTTGTAAGGTACAACATGGGGAATATAGTCAAGAATCTTGTAATAACCATGTATGGTGTCAGGCAAACATGTGGATGAAAAAGGGGCCACATGCTAAACCTGACAAGCTCAGAGGAAGCCTGCATGGTGGGCCTTACAAACCCAGAAACCAAAGTAAGCACGCACGGTGCTCTGAACGTAAAAACGAACTAAAAGCAGGTAATGGTGGGTAGTGAAGTCCTGGGCCTGTAGCTCCCTTGACAAAAGTAATTTTTAATTTTGAAATTGTCTGTTGTCTTTGTGCATCTGAGGCAACACACCTGTGAAGTGTCAGAGTAAACTGCTTTTCCAGACCCCTTGGAGGCCGGCACCAGGGCATGAGACCACAGTGTTTCTTATCAGCCACAAACCATCTCTGTGCACCGTAAATGTTAACCCTCCTGCACTACTGAGGTGAAAGGATTATGTGTTTCTCCATTTCACTTTTTATTCAATCTCAGAGATTCCCTGTTTTGCTTTCTCCTGCCTCCCTAATCTACCACCAATGGCTGTCACATAACTGTCCTCAGGTCTCCTCCTTTGATTCCAGTGCATAAAATAAACTGCAAAATTGCCATTTGCCAGAGCACTTTCTCAGTCTGTTGAGATTTTGCATCCTGGCAATTGTCAGTTTGGCTCAAATAAACGCTTACAAGACTTTTCCGTAGGTTGGACATTCTTTTGTTGACAGGTCCTAGACTATCAGGCTGCTCACGTCGTAAGTTACATAAATGTCTAATCACTATGTTGTACACCCGAAACAAATTGTATGTCAACTGTAATTGAAGAATAAAAAATTATTTTAAAAGAGAAAATGATTAAACAATATTAAATTAAAAAACAAAATTAACCTTAATATTGAATATAAATAGGTATAAATGACTCTAGCTCTATATCAAATTAGTAATATAAAAGCAACAAAAAATGAATTAGCTAAATGACTTTCAACCCACTACTCTAATTGTACCTACGTGCTTAGTGAGGTACATTTTAAGGGTTTAAAAACTTCAAAAAATCTTCTACTTTACTCAGTCATTTTATTAGTAGTAATATTAAATTGTAATTCAAAGGAAGGAAGAATTCCAAAGCCAGCAACCTACTATGAAAAGAGGAGACCTTTATAGGACCTGGAACGCAATTCTAGTTCCCTTCCAGAGCCAAAGGGCACCCAGTAATGGGCAAGGATGGGAGAACAGTGACCTGCCCACAGAACTGGGACTGGGCGCTGAGGTCCCTTCTCAGTGCATAGCCATGAAGGACACAGACCTCAGGAAGGACATCACGCTCTGCCAGGCTCTGCCAGGCTCTCCCTCTGGGACCTGTTATTTTTCAGAGTGGCAGGAGGAGTGGGGGGACACAGCCGAGAGGCTGCGCCTTCACCCCACCCTGCAGAGTCCTCGGGGAAACCCCAGACTCAAGGAAAGACAGAGCAGCAGAGCAGCTTCTAGCAACTGCCAGGGGAGCCCGAGGGAGGAGCAGAGTTTCAGAGCCCAAGGAAGGAGAAGGGGAGGCAGTTCCAGGCCTCAGGGCCTGAAGGAAGGCTGGAGCGCCCCTGGGAGCGTCTGTCTGGCCAGGCCTAGAGAACCTGACAGACAGGGGAATGGCTACTTCCTGCGCGGGCTTTGGGACACGAGGACGACCCCGAGTCTGAGGAAGAACCAAGCCCCTGGAGGGCCTGGCCCAGGGCCTTTCCATCACATTGGGTCCTGGCCCCCCTCACCTCCACCTTGATGTCATGGAAAAGGCACAGTCCCCCTCCTTCGTGAGAACCCCTGATAAATAAGCCATTTGGCCCCGCTAGGACCGGTACGCTGGGTTCACCCTCTAGGTCAAAGGCCTATAAGCAAGTATCCTGAGAGTGGTTTTGCACATGGGAGCAGTGGGGGCTTATCCACCCCCCAGAACACACCCTGCCCAAGCTCTGGCTTCTTCAGACCTGTGCAGCCTCCAGGAGAACACAGAGTAGTGAAACCACCGCCCACCTCCCTCCCTCATGGGATTACTCTCTGCCACCCTCTCCTTTCCCGGGGGAGGGGACACAGTCACTCTGCACTCCCAACACTGGCACCACCTCAGGCGGATGCTGGGGCTCCTCCGGAGCAAGGTGAAGGGCAGACAGTCTTTTCCAGCAGTCACATGCTTCACCTAGCTGGAATCTCCCTCCCCCTCCCCCAAAGCATTCCTTATTAGGAAAGCTGCATCCAAGTCCCCCCACTTTGTTCCTGTCGGGGTACATGGGTTGGTGGCAGCATGCATGATACTCCAGGAATCCCAGGTATGTAAGGTCCCAGGAGGCTCATGGCATGCAGCTGACCGGCCATGCATGGTTCCCCACCAACAGTCAGAGGACATTTCCCCTCTGGCCCACCCACCACCTCTACAATGTGCTTCCGGACTTCTCTCTCCTTTGGTGAAGCTCCTACACCAGAGGCTGAAGGATCAGGGTTTTCTGTGTCCAGAATAGCAGCTGGCAGGGCCCAGCCCACCACACTGGTGGGGAGAACTCCTTCAGCTGAATTCGCTAGGAGCTGGGTGTCCCTGAAAGGAAGACATTTTCCATTTTTACCCAGCTATGTTTCCTTCCACTCTGCATCGTCTTGACAAATGTCACCGATGATCCCAATTGTAGACATCCAGCAGTCTTGATGTCTGCCAACACAGAGAAGCAAAGACAAAACCATGCCTTCCTTACTTAAATGAGTTCAAGGTCCTCCATTTGGGAAACACAGGATGACCCCCGACGTGAGAGGGGAAAGGGCAGGTGACACAACTCTGACTTTGTTTCCCCACCCCCTGGGGGCTCTCACCTGAATCACCAACAGGGCTGGTAGAAGCTGGGACAGGGAGACTGTGGGAAGCCACCATCAGCACTGGGGGCTGCCTGTGAACCCCCATCTATCCCCTGAAGGACCCTTAGCACAGGCTGGGTGTGTAAACAGAGTTCTCCAAAAAGCCTAGGGATGACACGGAGCCGTAACCCCGATCACCCAGCCCACATGGTGGGGTTGCCTCTGCAGTCTCTCTGTTGTCCCCACAGCGGAGTGTGTCCCAGGTTCCCTGCACGATCAACGTGGCGCCCCCGGCAATATGGATTCATTGGGCCAGTCTAGAATGGGACTGAGGAATTGAACTTTTTCAACAATTAGCGTAGTCTTGATCATCTTGGATCCTTGAAGATCAATGCTGACTACCTACCATCTGTCCTCTGCCCGTGTAAGGCCATCTTCCAAGGCCGATTTCCTATCTCTGGATCCATTCCTGTCCTACCACCTGCCCTCGAATGGTGACCCTCTTTAGGGAAGACCCATCATGCATGTGGCCTCTGTCCTCTGCACAGCAACCATATCAGAAAACCAATAGTCACATCACATAACAATGTCACAGAGGTCATCGTAATTCCTCCTGTCCCCTTCCCCACCCCACTCCACCCTCTCAGGTAGAAACTGGATGAACACACACCTCCCCCTTCAGCTCTCATTCTCTGAAGCCTGTTTCCCTTGGCCTGCCCTCTTCCTCCTTAACTCATAAATTGAAGAAATACCAAAGGGACCTTACTTTGTCAATAATTGCTTTTGTTTCAGTTGAATTGGTCAATTGGGTTAGTCCCTTAGCTGACCCCAGAGGACAAAGAAATCACAAGAAGGGGTGTTCACAGTGTAGAGGCTGCACGGTGGCCCCACCCACCTTGTGTGGGTGGTCCTCCTTGAGTTTGCAGACTTCCTCTAGTATTTCCTGTCAGGTGAGTCACCACACCTTCCAGCGCCACAGGAGGAAAATCTGGAGGAAGATTTCTTAAGCTACTGATAATGAGGTTCAAAGTAATGCATGAAAACTTTCAATGTTATTAGTCATTAGAGAAATTGAAATCAAAACCATGAGTTACCACTTTATATTAACTAGGATGGCTATAATAATAATTTTAAAAAGCAGAAACTTACAAGCATTCGTAAGGATAATGGAAGAATTGGATCTTGAACATTGCTGGTGGGAATATAAAAAGGTGCAACGTCTGTGGAAAACAATTTTCAGTTCCTCAAAAACTCAAACTAAAGTTGACATATGATCCAGCCGTTCCATTCATAGGTATATGTCCAAAAGAATTGAAAACAGGTGCTCCAACAAATACTGGCACATGAATGTTCATAGCTGCATTATTCATGACAGCCGAAAGGCAAATAGAACCCAAATGGCGATCGACAGATGAATGAATAAAACTGTGGCATATACATACAATGGATTATTATTCAGCTCTAAAAAGAAGTGAAGCACTGATATATATGTGGTTGAATCTCAGAAACATCATGCTAAATGAAAGAAGGCAGACAAAAAGGTCACACATTATATGGCCCTGCTTATCTGAAATACCCAAAAAAGGTAACTCTACAGAAACAGCAAGTTGGTGGTTGCCAGTGGGGAGAGGCAGGAGGGAGAGAATGAGGAGTGGCTGCTTAAGGGGAATGGGTTTTTTAATCTTGGAGTGATAAAAATGTTTTGGAAATAGAGAGGGGTGGTGGCTGTAAAACATGTGAATGTACTAAATGCCACTGAATTGTTCACTGTAAACGGTTAATTTTATGGTACAGGCATATCTTGTAGATACTGCCAGTTCAGCGGCAGGCTCCCACACCGAAGGGGGTACTGCAATAAGGGGGGTCACACGGATTTCTTGGTTTCCCAATGCACATGAAGTTCTGTTTACCTTTTATTGCAGTCTACTAAGTGTGTGACAGTATCATGTCTAAAAAATGTACATACCTTAAAAAGTACTTATTGCCAAAAAATGCTAACCATCCTCTGAGCCTGCTGATATAATTGCTCGATGAAGAGTTACCACAAACCTTTGTTTTGTAAAAAAACACATCTGCAAAGCGTAATAAAACGAAGCATGCCTGCTTATGAATTTCACCTCAATTAAAAAAAAATGTTAACACATACAAGGAAAAAGAAAAAAAAAAGTGTTGGTAGCCAGGTGGGTTTTTGGTCGTTGTCTTTCTTTGCCAGAACCTTGGACTGGCGGGGCAGGCGTCTTCTCTGAGAGATGCTGCCTGTGATTTGAGGCCTGCAGCTGCCGTCCTCACACTTCCAGGTCCCTTTCCATGCTGTGGCTTCCATCCCCGGTTTGCTGGATACCCAAGGGACTCACAGAAATAGAGTAGACTTCCCTAACCAGAAGGTCAAAGTTATAACAGCTTATTCAGGTTTATTAGCATATAAAAGCAAAATACTTCATTACAGACGGCAGCTCAGAGCCATTAAGAAGGCTCTTGATTATATATGAGAACCCATAAATGATTAAAACTAATTCTACCTAGAAGTTTCAGCTTACTCATTATAAACAAATAACAGCAGAAGGAAGTCGTGATAATCTACCTTCTGTTCTAATTTTAAAATGTGAATAATTAACCTTCCAGGGAAAAAAGTGTAGACCTTTAAGAGTTCAGTCCAGTAAATGTCCGATTTACAAAGAGGCAGGCACTGCCGAACAGACAGCCGCCCTGGTTTGGGGCGGTGGCAGTTCCCAGGGCATCGGTCGCTACTGCAGCTCAGCTATGGGAGCAGTAACGTTCGTGTGTGCTGCTTTCAGGCACAATGCTGATTCTAGCGGGGACTGTGGCTTGTGTGAAAGGCATAAAAAGTTCACATTTTTGCTACATCAAATTTTGTTACCAAACATGCTAAGTTACTACAAATTTCATCTTCTTAAACTCAATTTCTCCCAGGTAGAACCACTAATACTTAGGGATTGTTTCTTAAGGTCTAGAATTAAATATTTCTTACTATAGTCAACTATACAAAGATTTTTGTTCAGCAGGAGCCTTATGAGAATAAAGGTCGACTGTCCAGATGGTTCAACGCCTGTCTTTTATAATACGGAAAGCCACATCCTTTCTGGACCTCTCAGGGGGAGCTAGTTACCCAAGTATCCCAGGAAATATCTTCTCTAAAAGTGTCCCTTCACTATATGGAGGCTTGGGGGGTGGGGGGCAGGGTGTCAATACACTGGTAGCTGCGCCAGTGTAAATTACTTAAGTACCCTAATTACCTTCTTTCAAAAGGAAGGAAAGAAAAAGGAAATATAAAGGGGAGGAAAACGGAGAGGAAGAGAAAAGAAGAGGAACAAGAAATAATAAATTAGGAGAGCAATCTGGTTTCTTGGTCCCAGAAGCAATTAACACTGGAAACCGAATGGACCAAGCTAAACATTAACTGCTTCTGGCTGGCCTTTGACAGAACAGCTTACTGACATGTGCGCCTCGCTTTCAGAAACCACCTAGGGGGGTTCAAAACCCTGCCTCCATTTGGATGCACCTGACCTTGAATAAGTTCATTATCTTCTCTGAGTCTTTTTTTTTCCCTCCAATAGGAATAATACCACCAACCACCTAGAACGATAGGTCTGAGGGAGAGAAGGAGCTTATGTGCCCGCCAGGCCAGAGGCACTTTGCCTCCCCTTGTAAAGGGGCACAGCCAGGGCCCCACCAAAGGGTATTTGTAACAGGGTCCAGAGATTGGGGTGTCCAAGAAAAATATATTCTCCCCACCCCAGAGCGGCCGCCATGGGGGATGGAAGCCTTGAGCAGGGCCACGGAGAGTCATGTTGCATGTCAATAACAGGATAGCTTCATTCCTCATTTGCTAAAAGGGTTACTTTGCCTATCACAAAAGCTAATCAGGAAGGTTAAAAAAGACTTAATACAGAATGTAATTGGGAGAGAAAGAGGAGAGAGGAGAGACAGAGACAGACTCTGGGGAACAGTGTGAAGACCACGTGGGAAGAAAGAGGAGAAAAAGGACTCTTGCTAGTGGGCCAGGAGAAGGTGCCCCATGGTTGGGGATTAAGAGCTGGAGATCGCGGCGACGCAGCGGATGGTGCTGAGAGGCCTGCCGAGCCGAGCCCCGGACTTCTGTTCTTTTCCTTCTGAAGGACCGTACCCCTGACAGGCCTGACTGGCCTAACTAGGCAAAGCAGGGAAAGCAGGATTGTGTGGGCTGGTGATTGTTTTAAAGGGATTTTGAGGTTTAAGGGCGACATTTAGCCATTAATCAAACCTGTGTAACTTCTGAATAAATAGTTCCTTTCCTTTTCACCAAACTCTGCCATTCAGAGCCATAATTCCAAGGGCAGCGGGTAAAGGACCTATGACCGAGGGATCCCAGGGAAAGGGGGTGTCATTGTTTCGGTAATAGCATCTGGGCTTCCCCAACCCAAGGGTCCATTTGTTCAGTAACAACCAGGGGTCTGAAACCCTAACAGCTTAACCTGTGTCGGGATTCAAACAAGTCACCTCAATATGTGCCTCTGGGGTATGCAGATTATTTTGAGCTAAAGGCAACTGAGACCCTACAAGCAAAACTTCTCCCCTGTCCCCCTTCCACTACCTAGAACTTGAATTTGGGGTCTTGCCCATGAGAAATTGCCAGATAACCTTTTTTGGTCCACCTATAGGGCATGGAAAACTAATAATGATTGAACACCGGCTCTTCTCCTCGTCCTGCAATGACACTCTGAAGCCCCCGCAGTGCCTCCCCCCGGCCTTAGCTCAGGATGCTGTATGTACTACACTGTAACCTTCCGTCCCTGACCCTCCAATGTATGTGAGCGCTTGTCAGTGATGTTGACGCTGCACCAGGGATATCAGAACATAGCCGATGCTATTGTATCTTTTATTAAAAAAAATTAAATAAAATAGTGATCAATTCTATATAAAACCGAACAGGAGTCCGAGTTCATGGTGGGGAAGGCTGAGAAGAGGGAGACAAGGACATGGCTGCAGTAGATTCTTTTTCTTCGTATCTGGGAGGCAATTCAGACGAGAGATGCGGAGTATGGGCGATCTCAGAGGACGAAGGAGCCCCAGAAATAGTGTATATGGGTACATGCTCCCTCTCAGAGGCCGCGCCTTGGCCCTCAGCCGTAGTGGTCCTGCTGAAGAGAGAGAGAGGACATGAGAGGGTGGAGAGGAAAGCGTAACACACCTTAAGGAAAAGGTTCCTTTCAAATTTGCAAGGATCTAAGGAGTAATTTTTTCCACATTTTGTTGTTTATAGATATGTTCCAATTTCTTGCCCCTTACTTTCCTTAGAGCCAATTGTAATATCAAGACAGTCTCACTCCAGTTGTCATTTCCTTTGTCACTCAAAAGACATGGAGCACAAATGGGTAGGGGCCATCCAAAAAGAACACACACACATACACACAAGTTACTGTTCTGCCTCATTCTTCTGAAGCAGCTAACAAAAGGCAGGCAAACTTATGCAAACCGGAAATTAAATCATTAGAAAATTAAGTCAAACTTATGCAAAAACTTGAAGGAAGCAGGAAGGTATGCTCATTCATGGAGCGGGTGTGAGCAACAGGCAGACCTGCACCTGAATCTCCATCCCGCTGCCTTCTAGCAGCAGGATCGCTGAGCCTCAGTGCCCGCCCCCACGCCACACCCCACCCCATGAGACAGGGATAACAGTGCACACTTCCTGAGGCTGTGAGAACTACATGAGGGCATGCAAGAGAAGCCAGAGGCTGGCCCACAGAAACCATCAAAGCAGCAGTAGTTTTTTGAAGTTAAGAGACATTTCTTTTAGGGCTTGGAGAAGTTCATCATTGGAGGAAAGAGTAGAGAAAGTCACTAACAGAATTCCACAAATGTCCAGAACCTAACCTCCCCTTCATCCACGCAGGGCAATTCCTATATCCGTCGCTGGTCCCATGGCCAGCTCACCACCCCGTCTGAAGTACAAGAACATGCGCCTCAGAAGGTGAGTGGCTGGCTAGGCAGCACCATCTCCAGCGCGCTCACTGCGTCTCTCAGGCCCTGCCTCTCACTGCTTTCAAAAATGCACATGTCTCAATGTCTGGGAAGTCGCCTTTCACTGAGTCCTGCTCATCCACTCACCACGCCCTGTGGAATCTTCTAGAAATCCTCCCTTCACTTCCTACATCCTGGTTTCTTATCAGAGGAGGCGCCCAAGGCTTCATCGCCAGCCCTGCTCCTCCCTGGCACTTCCGCGAACTCCTTCCCACCACGCCTGCCCCTGTGGGCCCTCTGCAGGTCATTAACTCCCTGCCCTCCTGGTTTTAGCGACCTCTTCCCAGTTCCATCGCTTGGCCAAGGCCTAGCGTCTCCAGTCTACCTGAAGGGTCCGCATCTCGCTACTCCTCCATCACAAGCAGTTCTCCATCTTCTCCCCACCTGCACCGAGCTTGGTCCCACTTCCTTCTCAGGCAGCGGCGTCCACTGTCCCTGCGACTCACCCTTGACATGATGACCTCTGCGCTTCCTCACTGTCCTCTCCATTCCAGTTTCCCTCCCACACACCTTCTCCTTCAAACCACCATGGTTCCAGGCTCCTGTTACCTCAGGCCCATCCATGGACTCGGCCTACCCACCGATATGGCTACCTCGGCCTTTGCCCGCTGTGAACTGGGTTAACCAACCCCTGCTTGGAGCCCATCGCGCTGACTCCAGAACCTTCAGTGGCATTCCCTGCCTCAAAGAAAAGGTACTTAGATTTCTGCTGTTGCATCTGATCCAAGGTACACCCCCTAATTTGTGGCATGACGGAGCCTGGGGTTAGGGGTATGGATCTTATATTTCTCTTCAGTCAATGTGAGAAGGCTCTGAGGCCCAGGGAACAACTTATTACTGAGGGGAAAAGGCAGCCTGGTCAGGTCAGGTGCAGGTGGCTTTAGCCAGTTACTCAGGTACCTCCGTTAGAGATCCCCTGGGACCCTCACACCTCCCCACAATCTAAAGCAGCAAGTGGGGGGCCTCCTGAGCCCTTGCTCAGTGCTCCATGTGGCTGATGGGCTATGAAATATTTTGTGGGTCACCCCTGCTAGGAGCACAGAAAAATGCCTGGAGAAAACTTCACATTAACCTAGCACAAACACTTTTATAATTTTTAACTTACATGCTGCCCAGAGTTTCCTGAAAGGCACTGTTAATATTAAGGCAATAATTCTTACATACTGTCAGCAAAAAGAAGATATTCACACTCCAATGTTTACTCCTGTACTACAGCCTTAAAGCTGATTTGGTCTAAATTCAGGTATAGGCCTAAAAATGTTAAAATGCTACTCTTGAAGTTCAAATAGAAAGTCTTACCCATAGTTAAAAATACTGTAATAGGAAGGTGGATTTTCATTTGGAAGCAAACTGTTAGCCCCAGGACTTCGAGTTACTGCAGGAGCTGAAGACTCAGGAAAGTAAGGTGGCGGAGGGGGCGGGAATATTATCACGGCATCACCTAAGGAAACACAATATTTGGTTGAAGATCAATGAGTAAGAAATGCAAACAATTTAGCAATAGCAAAATAAATTAATTATGTATTTGGCCCATCGATAGAAATGGTGAAAACATCTGAGCCAACTCCAGAATTAAAAAGTGGGCTAATCAAATTTACAGAGACAGAGGGTGAAAGCATCCAGGGGCGGGAGCAGGGGAATTGGAGTTAGTGTTTAATGGGTGCCACGTTTCTGTGTGGGGTGATACACAACCTCTGAAAATTGAGAGTAGAGACAGTTGCACAGCACTGTGAATGTACTTCCTGTCACTGGACTCTTAAGGACGGTCAGGAGGGTAAATTTTATGTTATATATTTTTAACACAATTTTTAAAAAATAGTGGGCCTACACTTTATTGCAAGTCTGAGCTAAAGTACTTCAATGAAGCATTATCCTAACAATGTACCCCCTTGCGATGTTGACAGCGTTAAAGCTTTTCTTGTTTTTAACTTACAATTTTAATTCATCAAAAGTTAGCTGTTAGATCAAGCGTCTTGTCCCTCAAATGCAGTTTCACCTCTGGACAAATGACAGTCAGCTGCCCCACAGCCTGTCACTGGCATCATCACAGCTGTGGCTTACACTCTTGTAGTCTTTCATCTACCAACATTTCACCCAAGCTTCACAAAACAAAGTCAAACTCAAAAATCTTTTCAGCATTCCCAGAACACACACCTGTGTTTTGGGGAGGAGACACTAGGGAACGATTCCAATTCCAATACAAAACACAGCACATGAGTTGCCCAGAACATTCTAGCCATGAGGCAAGCACCCCTCTACAGAGGTCTGAGGACATCTGTTGGGCAGCATCAAATGACAGCTCAGGAAACATGGAGGAGGAGAGAGGACGTCTCTGCAGGGAGGAGCCGGGTTTGCACGGGCGGGTGGGTGGCAGATCTGATGCTTGCCTGGGCAGGGACAGGACTCACAGGGTAAAGCTCCCAGGGTCCCTTCCGTTTGCCAGTTACCAACCCAGCCTGGCCCTGATGGAGTTCTTTAATGCCTCTGGGCCTCAGATGCCATGCCTGTAAATCTCAGGCCATAACTGTACCTGCCTCCGAGGACAGGTAGGAGGATTGGATTCCTGCGCAGCCATCGAAACAGTGCTGGGCCTAGAGCGAACTCTCTCAGCTGCTTTGTCCCCTCAGAGCTGCTTCCTTCACACTCCCAGCAAGTGGCACTGACTGGCACGCCTGAAGAAAGACTCCCAGCCAGCGGTCTTGGCCAGTGGTTCCACCTCCACCTCGGTGCTGAGTGTCCGAAGCACTTCCCAGAAGGCACCTTGGCCCTCCAGAAAACCCATGAACTCCGTCACTCCTAGCTGTTGGAGCTTCCCTTGCTAACCTAAACTTGATAAAAACACAATGGTTGTCTTCTCCTTTTTTTTCAGAAGGTCTGGGTAGGTCAGAGGAAGCAAGGTTAAGTGTTCACTTTAATCACACACTGTAGAACACAGGACCAGGCATAAACCTCTAAAGCGGCCAGTAACTTATCGCACAGAAACAAGGAAATGTTCAAAGTCACCGGTTATCTCTGCGGCTTGTCCTTCCTGCACCGGCAGCTCCCAGCCCTCCCACACCTTGCAGTCCGCTCTCACCAGGAAAGATGTCCCATCTCCCCTAGGGGTTTCCCTTTCCCCAGGCCCTGCAGGACCTGAGCTTCTGTGAGTTGACATCACAGACCCCTCGTGGGAGGGCTGTCTCCTACACCTGCTTGCGTACCCAGGGTCCAGCAATGAGCATGTCCCCAGTGTGGGTATCATTGGTTTATCCACACATCACTACTGGGGTGGAGTGGAGGAGAGACTTCCATTCTGGAAACAACCGAATTTAGAGAATTAGCCAAGAACTGCCTCTCATTACCCCAATGTCCCTCATAAGGCAGAACTGATTGCTGAGAGACAATGTCCAGAATCTTATAAATTGTGCCAAAAGCCACGATCTCTAAAAATTTAAATCATATCCCATTATATCAAAGAGAAAAAACAAGGAGTTAGGGTGCCAGATTTTCACTGGATTGATGGGACTTAAAGGGTTACGTGGAAAAGATTGTAAACTATGCGGTGCCATGCCAACATCAGACAGAACTGCCCAGGAGCTGCCCAGGAGTCTCCCGGCCCCAGCACCAGCAGCCCTGCTCCCTGATGCCCCCACCCATTCCGGCCACCAGGACGGAGGCCACCCTGAAACTCTCCTGAGAGCAAATCCAAAGGGCATACCTCAAAATGCTCTCCACTAAGTGGAAGGCTCCAGCCATCCCATGAGTGGGTTCACTTGGACCCAACTGTGCTCCCCAAAAGGACCGAGAATGGTCTCTACTGGGTGAGCCCTTTTGTCGTGTGAGAACTACACAGAGCACCTAGCGAAGATGAAACCAGCAGAAACAGAATTACAGCTCAGTGCTCTGGGGAGGGTGCTACGCAAGGGCCACAGTGTTTGTGTGCCACCCAGCTGGGTTTGGATCCTGGCTCTGCCGCTTGCTACTTCGTGACCTCAGGCAAGTTATTTGATATCCCTGGGCCTCAGGGTAAGAGTTTCTTCATCTCTAACTTGAAGATACTAAGAGTATCTGACTCATGGGTTGTCGTAGGCATGAAGGAATTTCACGCAACAGGCCCTTGAAGAGCAGATGCTAAAAGCACTTAAATGGGTGTTTGGGACAAGAATAAACTTTTTACATGTGGTAGCTGCCCTTAATATATAACTAATACTTGTATTGTCGCCTTACATATATAAATGCACAAAGCAGCAAGTGGGGAGCACCAACCCTGGCTCAACACAAGGACCGCCTGCAAGTCCTCCTGCTGCTCCTCTGAGTCCGGCCCAGGGCACCGCCCAGCTGAGCCCCGCTGGCTCCGGCCGCAGCCCGTGAGAAACGCCGCACTCACACTCTCCTTCTCTGTCCCCTCCATGTTCCCGCTCTGTAATTCTCTTTGCCTAGCCTTTTAGATGTCAAAGCCTATGGCTTCAGAGCTCCAGCCTTTCAAAAGTAGGAGACTGGGGAAAAAACAGTAATTTGCAAAAATGAGTAGTGCTGGGGCTCTTCCTTGGTTGTCTGAAGCTGAGGCTAAGCTACTGGTGGTGTTCTTCGGGGGAAGCGACTCTAGGAAATGGTAATCCATCTATTCAGCAGGACCCAAGGGACCCAAAAGGAATTTCTAGGCATTCCATGGGGGAAATAAGTGACAGGTGTTGTCTTATCTCATCTTCATTTATGCCACTGCTTCTAAACTTTGCCCTAATCCTGAAGTTACAGAAAATAAAGAACAATGCAGAAAACAGAAGGCCCCTCAAAACATAGAAGACCTGGAATGTTAGTTCTGGAAGGGATCTTAGAAGGGCAATGCTCATTTGATAGATATATAAACCAAGGCCACAAGAGGTTAAGGACTTACCAGAAAGCCAACCAGTGACAGTCGGGATGAGAACTCATGTGCCCAGCAATGCCAAGTGCCACAGGTTTCAGCGTGAGAATAACAGGGGAAAGAGGATCACTTGGCAGGTCCCTGATGTGACAGAGGACTCACAGGTTGTCCTTGAGGTTCTTCTCACTTTCCTCTCAATTTGCTCTGTGACCTCAGTCAAATTCACCACTTAAAGTCCCAAAGCTTTTTCTAAATAATAACGAATTGCTGGGACAAAATGATGTGAACAAGGATTTCTATGGGGCTTACTATAGCAGCAGCACTGTGTGTGTGTGTGTGTGTGTATGAGAGAGAGAGAGAGAGACAGAGAGAGACAGAGAGACAGAGAGACAGAGACAGAGAGACAGAGACAGAGACAGAGACAGTGAATCTCGGCCAGACCCAAGGGCAGCCCAGTGAAGCCCTGATGCAACAGCCCCGGTGATAGGAGCAAACACAGGAGTGAGAGCCACCCACCTACGGTGACCTGGACAGGCTCCGAGTTCTGGGTCTGTCTCTCTTCACTTTCAGAGGCATTCGGGCCCTCATTCAAGTTGCTTCTCCTCTTCACATGGGCAACCACAAAGAAGCACAATCCCATGAGCACAATCAAGGGTCCCATGATCTGCAGAGACAGAAATCCACAGATCTGGGGCTCCTCGTTGACAGTGTCTGTCTCATTCAGCGGTTCCTGCTCCCAGTCAGAGCCACAGCCAGGGACCCAAATGCCCAAAATGCTGATGAGCATGCCGCTGGTCAAGAAGAGAAATCCAAAGATGAGACACTGGGCGAACTGGCGGCTCTCTCCGCAGAGGAAGGCTTGGTCGGGGTCCGCCTGGTGGCCTCGACGGCGCCCATCACGGAACTGACGCAGCGCCCGGGAGCGGGCCAGGATCACAGCCGCGAGCCCGACCACGGCGCACGCAGGCCCCACGACCTTCAGCACCATGCTGCAATCTGGGAGGGGCTTGTACTGGCATGCCTGGAACCCAAAGATGGAGAGCAGGACTCCCACAAACAACAGGATGGCACCAAAGACGAAAAGGAAGAAAATGAGCATGCTGACATGCCTGTCTTGCTGGACCCCACCTGGTTCAGTTGCTGCAGGAGACATGGCCAGAAGAGGCCCCTTCCCCAGGGAGGGGTGGCGTGTGTTTCTTTCCCTCCAATGGTTTCAATAGCTCTGCAAATATAACCAAACACCAAATTAAAGTGGGCACAGGTATTCCTGACCCACCCCGTTCTTTTGCTGGCCAGTTCAGAAATCACACGAGGATGAAATCATAGGGAATAGAACTTTATCCAATGGATACACTGTAGAACAATGAATTGGTTTATGAGTCAGAAGGACTGGCATTCAGAAACTCCTGAATACTTAATTTTATGAAGAAATCCAAGAAGAGGAAATGCAATTACCATGCACCTAAGAGTATATCTAAAAAACAAAACAAAACAGCATAGGGGAATATAGTCAATAATGTTGTAACAACTATGTATGGTATCAGGGGGTACTAGGCCTACTGGGGGGAAATAAGTTTTATCAATGTCTAATCATTATGTTGTACACCTGAAACTAATACTGAATGTCAACTGCGATTAATTATTTTAATATTTAGTAAATATTTCTTAAAAACATAAACAAAAGTAACTGGGTGTGACTTTTCCTGTTCTAAGTCTTACGAACTCAATCTCCCAGGCAAAAACAAAAACAAAACAAAACAAAAAAAACCCAAAATTAAAAAAAAAATACTCACAGTGGTGAGTGAAGGAAGAACCAGGGAGATTATTTTTGATTTACAGACATCCCCCATTTCATCACCGCTGCTCTGAGCATTTCCATGTCAGTAAATTTTTGTTCGGTAACTAACTTTCCATTTCCTGTTTTAGACCCGCAGCAACTTTCCATTCTGTGCTTTATGCTAAGGCTACATCTGCTGGAGAGCCAAGTTTCAACTGAAGGGAAGGTGGTTCAGGAACCCAGTGTGTTTAGTAGTTATTAAGTTACTTCTGTCAAAATGTGATTCTTGAGTTCTCACTCGGGGGCTTCCCTGGCCCACAATCTGGTGGCCTGGGTGCTTGGGTCTGGGATGGCCCCGGGAGAGTGTGGCACAGCGGTGACGGGGAGCCTTGTCTCCCAGGTGGCCAGGCAGCCTCTCACTCACCCTCCTTGGTGCCACCCACTTCCACAAAGAGGTTAAGGCTGTTAAAAACAAGCAGCTGATAAAATCACCAGTCACAAAGCACTAAACAGCACTAGAACTTGACTTTGAAAGAAAAGTATAAGTGAAATCAAGTGGGAAAGCACCTTCCACAAAATCACCCAAGCCCTGTTCTTCAAGGGTATCACATATTAAATAAACCTGGAGCAGTTGTTAAAGAGTGTTCTAGTTCACACAGACTGACTTTATTATCCATTTGTCTTGTTTACTCTAATGAATGGGGGGCATTCAAAAAGACAATGCGAGTGTGAAGGCTGTCTTCATTGCTCAAGGAAAGAAAAACTTAAAACATTTCGCATCTGTGGCCACATGAAGGAACTCAAACTGGAGCTCTAAGCCCAAGGCCATCCTGACAAACCCAAATCATGGCCAAGGAGGGTCAGTGTAGGTAAAGAAAGCAAACAGCCTGTCTTACATGAGGAAGTACTTTTCCAGGAAAAAGTATGATAAAATCAAAAGGAAGTTGAAGAAAAAAGGAAATGTAGGAGGGAAGTGAGTTTTTATTTTTAAACTTGGGCAAACTACATTTATGGAAATGCGGTTAAGCTGAGACAAAGATTTAAAGCATTGCACTGATATTTTTTTTAAAATTTCTGAATCATGTTATCTCTTTTGCTGGTTCCAAGATAAGGGTGATTTCTCTGCTACAAAGTCCTATCAGGAATTCATTATGTTCCTGGCACCTTCAATTCTGAAGTGAGTCACAAGGCTTCAATCATCTAAAGGCAAATTCCCAAATACCAATAAAGAAAATGGAAGCCCCAAACTGACCTGTAGCTTCTTTTCCATGGCCTAGTGGGCTGAGTGCTGATGTGTTAATCCCCAATGCAAAATAACTAACGTGTGGAGGGATAGTCAGTCCGTCTGTCTATTCTCTCCAAATCTGAAATCACAAGCAGACACATAGACATCTACACTAATAGAAAATTAAACCTTTTTCAAATGCCAACCTACACTTAATTTCCCCAAAGCCAAATTCGCCTCCCTAACACTCTATCCCTTTTCCAAAAGACATTTTCAAATCAGCAGCACCTAAGAACTTCCAAATCTCTGGTGCGGTTGGGGGTCCAGGGGAAAAGGTAAATGTCTTTTACGGGAAATAGCTCCATGGGTTTTAGGGAGGCCCAGGGTAACAGCCCCGAGCGGCTGGCCGCGCGGCTCCCACCAACGCAAGTTAGCGCGGGGTCCTTGGCGCTGGCGCCCCTCCTGCCACCAAGCGTCGGCGGTAACAACGCGGCGCCAGACCCGTGCCCTGAGAGCGTAGGCTCCCGGGACACGGTGAGGTTCGGGGTCCGGAGCTGCTTACCTGAGGCTTCGTGTAGCGTGCGCGCTGCCTGCGCCGGGGCGCTTCCCCGGAGCCAGGCGTCGGGTCCGGGTAGGCGCTCAGCGGTGCAGCGCTGGCTGTGGGCAGCGGGCTGGCCGCGGATCCCCACCGCACACTCCCACCTGCGGAGGGCGGGCCGCCACTGTATTTACAGGAGGAGGCGGTGCCGGGAGGGCGCGGCGATCGGGGAGAAGGCGAGCAGGGCAGGGCAGGGCAGGGCAGGGCAGACTGGCGGGAGCTGGCGGTCACCGGGTGCTGCTCTTCGGGGGCGGAAGCGCGCCCAGCCTGGGAGTGAAGAGCGAGGTGCAGCTTCGCGGCCCAGGGCTGGAGGCCCTGGCCGCTTCCGCGCCTGTGACTGCGCGCGAAGAATCCCGGAAAAAATGAGCAGCCTCACCGCTCTCCTGGCCCGCAGCCTTAGGAGAGTCGGGGCGGCGAGTTGAGGTTCCCCCGGCTGTCCGAACTGCGCGCTGCGCCGGCCGAGATCCCGGCGGCGGGAAGGAGCTGGTTTCTTTCGGGGCTAGGTTCCAGGATTCGAGGGAGGGGGCGTGAGTAAGGGGAGCGTCTTTTCCCCTACCGGCGTGGCCGCAGCTTGGGGCTCCCGCGTTCCTGCCGCCCGGCGCTCGGCTGCCGCGCGGCCTGGGAAGGGCCCATCCAGTGGCCCTGTGTTCCTCCTGCCGTTCCACAGACTTTGACTTGGGGTCACTGGGGCAAGTCCTTCGCTGAGAGCTCCCCGATGAACAGGTTATGGAGACACCAAGTCACAGAAACTTGCGCGCCATTAGAACATGAGACAAGGGTTCTCCACAGTGGAACCGGTCCCTGGCTGTCTCCATTCCGGGTCAGCTCTACCTTCCTCGCTCACAGGTGTGCGCACAACCCTCCTTGGCCATAGAACCCCCTGCCCAGTTCTCAGTCGCTAATGATCTGCTGAAATTAAACTGGTAACTTTCCCTGCCCTTGACCCAGAGGTTTTGGGATGGGTTTGCTAATCCCTGTGCTATTTGTAACCTACCCCCGGTGACACGTGACACGGACTCATCTGTGCCAGTTTGCACACCAGAGGTCAGGGCACTGTGGAAGGTGAGTCAAGGGCTCAGCCCAAGCTCCAGCAGCCTTGGGGACATCCCCGCCCCTGCCACTTTTCCCTAGCTTCCTGTCCACTTTGCCTGGAATCCAGTAAAGAGTTCACGCCAATTGCATTAACCTTTTTAAAGTACAAACACGTAGCATACCTTAAAAAAGCAAGTCGTTCCCAACAGTTCTCACTGAGGGTAAAGATGAGTAATTTTAGCTGATTACCAGAGGTGAGAAGGAGACTCTCAGAGAAAGGGTCAGAGAGAGGCAAAGAGGAAGGGTGTTAGCTGGGCTGGGAGGGCTGGGCGCCTGGGTGGTGGGATGTGGTTTCACCAGGAAGGTGCACTGGACAAGTGCCAGCATTGGAATTGGCTGGGGGCACTTGCCCAGTGGCCAAATGTGGCCTTTTTCACAGTGAGCGTGCCCTGGCCTCTGCAAATATCTGCCCTAAGACGACTGGTTATGACCCTAATGAAGAATCCTAACCTTGTGGCCCCGCCGTCCTGAGAGGCTCTTTACCTGCAGCCTAAGCCTCTTTACTGCGTGGCTCTGGGTCTCAGAGAATGTTGGAACCAGAAGGCAATAGGGGAGCTAAAAACAGCTGTTTTTCAGTTGAGGAAACTGAGACCTAAAAACAGAAAGTTAGTCCACAGCTGGTTAATGTGAACCAGATGTACTGACTCTTCATTGTCCCTCCTGGGTACACCTGTCACCCAGAGGCCATGCGAAGCCGCAAACTCAAAAAAAAATATATATATATATATGGCTTTTTTATTACATGGCTTTTAGATCATTATAACAATACAGACCCTGTGTCTGTAAGGATATTGCTGCAATCTGTGTCCAGGTTGGAGATAATGCTGGTCAAAGTGTCAGGTATACCACCTTCTGGAAGGGCCTCAGGGAACACCTAGCTAACAAGCAGAAAGCCAACAGCGGAGATTGCACAACAGCAGTGGTCACCAGCCTTTCCGAGGCTGCAGGCCCGCACTATAGAATTTTCCCCCTCTTCTCTGGCCTGCTAACAATGCCTTGTGTGAGAGGCTTTGTATCTCTTCCCTACTCATTCTCACCTTCTCCCTTATTTAAAACTCAATCTCTAGCCGTGTTGTGTGCGGACCTGCAAGGGGCCTGTTGATACAGCTGCCCCTCTGGTGCCACATGACTGCAGGCTGGCCACACATGACAGACCTGAATGTACCGGCACCAAGGACAATCAGATTAGCTTCCACTTGGAATATCTGCTGCTTGGACTGTTTGTGTCTTTTGGAGCCCGTTTGACTAAATTAAATTCCATGGAAACCAGTCATGGGTCAAGTATGAAAGACGTATCCACCAGCCTGCAAGGTGCTTGTCTTGGTAGCACACCTGTTCTTAGGAAAGAGACTGGATGACCCTGTCACTATCTAAAACTAAATAGCCTTTTCCGGCCTGTGTAGTAGTGAAAAAAGAGAAGCCCAGGCAAAATCCTTAGAAAAGCGGCATCAGAACAGGCTTTAAAAAATGGATGAACCTTGAATTCGGGAAGTAAATACAGGGAATTAAGCCAAGGCAAGTGTTCATGCCTTCAGTCAGCAAATATTTGAGTGCTAACCATGTGCCAGTAAACAAAACAAAATCCTTTGCCTATGTAGAACTTATATTTTAGTGAGGAGAAATACAATAAAAGAAACATGTAAATTATACAGAGTATTAGAAAGCAGTAAGTGCTCTGGAGAATCAGAAATCACAGAAGGAAACTGGGGAGTGCTGGGAGATTTCAGTTTTAATAAGGTAGTTAAGGAAGGCATCTCCCCGAAGGTGACATTGCAGTAAAACTTGAAGGGAATGAGGAAGCAACCATATTCATAAGCTATGATTGCATAACAAATTACCTCCAAATTTAGACACTTAAAACCACTAAGATTTATTCCTCTCTCTTTTCCGGAGGGTCAGAATCTGAGAGCTGCTTAGCTGGGTGACTCCGGCTCAGGGTCTCCCAGTCAAGCGGTTGGCTTGGGGCTACCTCATCTGCAGGCCTGAGTGGCGTGGCTCCACGGTGGCTTGCTCCCATGGCTGTGGGCAGGAGGCCTCCGTTTCTTGCCATGTGGACCTACCCAGAGAGCCACCTGAGTGTTCTCAGGACATGGCAGCGGGCTTCCCCTCGAGTGATCCGAGGGAGAGCAAATGAGGTAGACGTGGCAGTGTGTTTTGTGATGTGGACTCTGAAGTCCCACACGGCCACTTCCGCTGTACTCTATTCCTGAGAACAGAGTCACTAAGGCTAGGATTAGGCTCTACGAAGAATTTGATATATTCTAAAACTGTGAATTTGAACCTGTTTTAAAACCATCACAGAGAAGTGTACTGATATTTGGAGGAGGGAGGACAGAGCATTGGCAGAAGAAACAGCCAATGCAAAGGCCCCGAGGCAGGAACAGGGGAATTCAAGGAAGAACCGGAGGCCAGCGCACACGGAGCAGGTGGGTAAGACAGAGAGGAACAGGGAAGGAGGTCGGAGAGGGTAAGTGCGTGGGCGACCACATGCACCAGATTGTGTAGGGCTTCGTTGTGGGCCATTATAAGTACTTTGACTGAGATGAGAAGACTTTGGAGGGTTTCGTTTTTTTTTAAGCAGAGTGTGATATGACCTGACTTATTTTTAAAAAGAAGACAGTTGCTTCTGAGTGAGAACAGCCTGAGGAGAAAGGAGGGTGGAAGGGAGACCATTTAGGAAGCTATTATAATAACCCAGGAGAGAGAGAACTGGGGCCTGTGTTTGAAGGTGCTAAAAGCGATTGGGTTCTGTATATATCTTGAAGAGTAGACAGGATTTTCCTGGACTGGGTTTGGGTTTTAATTCTAAGACTTTCAGCCGAAGGGCCTGGAATTGACCAAGACAGGGAAAACAGGGCCAGTCAAGTTGAAAGGGGAAGTTTTGGAGTTCAGTTAACTCTGTGACGTCCATTAGATATTTGAGTGGAGAAGTTGAGTAGGCAATTGAATACACAAGCCTGGAGTTCAGGAATTCTAGAAGGAGTACTTTCCTGTGGCCGGTCAGCGATGCTTGTTACAAAATCAAGAAAGCTGGAAGAGTTGATACTTCCATATGTGGCTACACCTGCCTAGTAACCATCTGCTGCTGAGGCCTCCAAGGAAGCGCAAAGCAAGGAACACAGCTGGGAGGGATATTCTCAGAGCGGTTACCTAAGGGCCATGTGTCCTTTGCTCCCCCAACACTGGCCCATATGACATTCCCCAGGACACTGCCAACCCGGAAAAAGACATTCTGGGCAAGTGGCATGTTTTGGCTTGTAGAATTTACTGTCACCATTTTACAGAATTCCTAAGGTTACAGAAAGACAATCAGTCCTTAAGTCTGCCAGCTTCTCGTTTGGTCTCTCTCAGGTTCTGCCCCAAAGGCACTGTAACACCCAGAAGCCTGCATGTCTCTCTCCCAGTTCCTGACATTTCCTGAGACCCCACTGGGGCTGGTGGGCAGGAATTGCTTCTTGAGTGCCGGGTCTTCGGTCGCCGTTTCAACAAATATTCCCAGGACGGCCAGCGATGCCTCTGAACCTAGCTGGGCCCCATCTAGCTGCCGACACCTGCAGCGGGCGCTGTGGTCAGGGGAGGCCAAGCTTCCTGGGCATCCCCCCCTCCCCCACCTCTGTGTTGGACTTAGACCCAGGAGCCTGAGACACATGTCCCCAGTAAGACTGACTGATTTGACAAGCTTCAATTGAGGGTTTAGATTTAACTCCTTAGCTAATACCCAGTGCAAAGACCAAGGTTTTGCAGTCATTTTATTGCCTGGGATAGTGCCGTTGTTTTGGCAAGGTTTATAATAGTGCAGCTTAAGTGCAGTTAACTGGAGCCAGGGGTAGGGGATGCAAGGAGTCATTTTAGAGAGAGTGAGAATTTGCCCGGCGCTCACGTGGTGTTAGCAGGAGGGGCTTCCACGTTGTCGAGGGAGAAGTACCGCTTCCACAGTGGTGACAGCATCTGGGCGGCAGCATAGAGGA